CAAATTAGCAGATTTTCCTACGTATAAGGTACGCTAATGATAATTTAATGTTAAGGAACATTGCTGATTTAATCTGATCAAAGACCGATACCTTGTAGAACAAAGGGTTGCCTACTCTTTGACAAGACACTCGTCGATATTGCCCAATTGCTCGTCAAATGAAAACTTCTTGATCTTGTCGATCCATCTCCAATTTGTTAGAGATAGTATCCTTGACAAGGTTTGAGGTGTGACTGGGGTTTTATCATAATGATAAATATAGTGGCCAGGATACTTCTTCATGCATAAATATATTCTTGCAAATGACATTGGTGAGAAATAATCTTTGGGGAATTCGTCATTCGACCTTAGGAGAACTTATACATACATATAACGCTCAATCGCCAGCAATTTCCAAAATGAGTTCCGCCATCTGTTTGAGGAATGGGAAGTGAGACCAGAGAGGTGTATACTTGTAGACCATGCTGTACACTATTTTGAACACGTATATGCTTTAGATACTGTTAGTAAAATAAGTAGCAGAAAAAAAAGTGAACATTCAAACAAAACAAATCATTTTTTGCCTGCTCCGCGTCCCCTGGACTCATGTTACTTTAGAAACTATATCTTTTTTCCTCAAGGATCTATTCATTATACCTTAAGATTCAAGTGTATGAAAAGTATAGGTAAACTGAGTGAAAATTTCAGCCGGATTGACTGAGAAACCAAAAATTTAGAGTCCTTTTCACGAACTTAATGAATATATGTATTTTGTAATTTATCTGTGTACATGCGATTTAAATTACGCTTATTCCAATTTACTTTCCAAATTTCCACGCTACCATTCATTGTTGTTGTATTTATTTCATTTGCCCCCATATATTTACTTGTCACGCTACCAATTGTTAATTATTTATTTCCCCCCATTAAGTGACGGCCCTGATTTTGTTTTTAGTTAAACGTATTTCCCCTGTGATTTGATTGTTATTATTTAACTATTGCCCCAGGGTCCTCACAAATGGTGCCAGGTGGTGGTATATAATACTTTGAAAGTGTTGACACATGCCTCAAATTTTATTTTTATTTTAGTGTGATCTTTTAGCTTTATTTGTTTCTTTGTTTCTAACATTACCAATTTTCAGCGCAAATACATGCCCAATTACAAAACAGTCACTATGAGTATTTCCTCTGCTGCCCAACAAGCCCCATTGACCACGTCTAGGTCAGACTGTTCATTTGATGACCCTGAAATTGTCCCAGGTCATCGTGCGCTTGATGACCAGGACATGAAATTTGCCATGGCAGATACTTTACCCTTACCAGATACTTCCAAGCATTCTGAGCGCAGAGCCCAGCGTTCGATGCCTGGTGTATCACCAAAGCCACCAAGATCTGCCTCACCTAGTGGCTATATAAATAAATTTAAAATTGAACCCGATCAAACGCTTTGGCAAAGTCCTTCAATGTTTTTCCCCCCTATTGATTCATGGAATAATCCCTTTTCTACACCTGTTTGGGAGAATTCTACAGTGGGTGAGCCTTCCCAAGCTCCCCCAGTTTCTTTGTATTCAGGGGAGAAATACCCATGTGGTGAGCTCGCAAGAGCTCCCACTTTTCGAAAACATGCAGGGAGGACAAATCCGTGGGGTGAGCCTTCCCAAGCTCCCCTAAGCCAAGGGCGTTTAAAGAGGGAATCATCGCAGGATGAGCCTTCCCAAGATGCTCTCGTTTCTAGGTATTCTGGGGAGAAATACCCCCGTGGTGAGCTCGAAAGAGCTCCCAGTTCTCAAACATACCCAGGGGAAGCCAATCCGTGAGGTCAGCCTTCCCAAGCTCCCCTAAGCCAAGGGCGTTTAAAGAAGGAATCATTGCAGGGTGAGCCTTCCCAAGCTCCCCTCGTTTCTAGGTATACTGGGGAGAAATACCCCCGTGGTGAGCTCGAAAGAGCTCCCAGTTCTCAAACATACCCAGGGGAAGCCAATTCATGGGGCGAGCCTTCTCAAGCTCCCCTAAGCCAAGGGCGTTTACAGAGGGAATCATCGCAGGGTGAGCCTTCCCAAGCTCCCCTCGTTTCTAGGTATTCTGGGGAGAAATACCCCCGTGGTGAGCTCGAAAGAGCTCCCAGTTCACAAACATACCCAGGGGAAGCCAATTCATGGGGTGAGCCTTCTCAAGCTCCCCTAAGCCAAGTTCGTTTAAAGAGGGAATCATCGCAGGGTGAGCCTTCCCAAGCTCCCCTCGTTTCTAGGTATTCTGGGGAGAAATACCCCCGTGGTGAGCTCGAAAGAGCTCCCAGTTCTCAAACATACCCAGGGGAAGCCAATTCATGGGGTGAGCCTTCTCAAGCTCCCCTAGGCCAAGGGCGTTTAAAGAGGGAATCATTGCAGGGTGAGCCTTCCCAAGCTCCCCTCGTTTCTAGGTATACTGGGGAGAAATACCCCTGTGGTGGGCTCGAAAGAGCTCCCAGTTCTCAAACATACCCAGGGGAAGCCAATTCATGGGGCGAGCCTTCTCAAGCTCTCCTTAGCCAAGGGCGTTTAAAGAAGGAATCATTGCAGGGTGAGCCTTCCCAAGCTCCCCTCGTTCCTAGGTATACTGGGGAGAAATACCCCCGTGGTGAGCTCGAAAGAGCTCCCAGTTCTCAAACATACCCAGGGGAAGCCAATTCATGGGGTGAGCCTTCTCAAGCTCCCCGTAGCCAAGGGCGTTTACAGAGGGAATCATCGGAGGGTGAGCCTTCCCAAGCTCGCCTCGTTTCTAGATATACTGGGGAGAAATACCCCCGTGGTGAGCTCGAAAGAGCTCCCACTTCTCAAACATACCCAGGGGAAGCCAATTCATGGGGTGAGCCTTCTCAAGCTCCCCTAAGCCAAGGGCGTTTACAGAGGGAATCATCGGAGGGTGAGCCTTCCCAAGCTCGCCTCGTTTCTAGATATACTGGGGAGAAATACCCCCGTGGTGAGCTCGAAAGAGCTCCCACTTCTCAAACATACCCAGAGAAAGCCAATTCATCGGGTGAGCCTTCTCAAGCTCCCCTAAGCCAAGAGCATTTTAAGGGGGAATTTTCGCAGGGTGAGCCTTTCCAAGCTCCCCTGGGCTTGATGCATCCTGGAAAGAAGCACCCAAGTGGTAAGCCCGCAAGAACTCTCACTTTTCAAAAACACCCAGGGGGGACAAATCCGTGGGATGAGCCTTCCCGAGCTTCCCCAAGCCCATTGCCTCATGGGGAAATATACTCGAGGAGGGAGTTCAATGGAGCTCCCCTGCATCTAAGGCACACGGGGAGGGAATATGCAAGGGGCGAGCTCTCACGAGTTCCCCTTAGTCCATTGCATCATGGTGATTATTATCTCAGGGGTGAGCTCTCTAAAGCTCCCCTAAGCCCAAGGCACTCTTTTTGGGGAAAAATCCAGAGTGAGCTCTCCGGAGCTCCCCTCAGCCCAATGCACACTGGGAGGGAATATGCAAGGGATGAGTTCTCTTGAGCTCCCCTATGTTCAAGATATACTGGGAGGGAATCCGATACCATGTCATGGGTATCTGATCAACAGTCCAGATCCAGTATAACTTCCAGATCTAAGGGGCATCTTAAGTCTAGACCTATGCCCTTCAATCACCATTCCCCCATTTCTCCGCACACAAAGAGGCAGGAATCCCATAACCTAGTGCCTTCCCAGTCAATTTCAATGGGGTATGAAACAGCCCATTCTGACCCATTTGAACAGATGTCTTATGCCCCCAGGGATCCCTTGAGTAAGGTCGATTCACTACTGCAGACGAAGAAATACAAGAAACGTTCCACTGACCTTCCCAAATGGTGTGATAATAGTTCTTCAGGAGGGAGTGAGTCAAAAATCCAAAGTCCGAAACCAATCTACAATAAGAAACGGGAGATGAGGGCCCCCAAATTCGATGGAAAATGTAGTTTGACAGCATTTTTGATCCAATTCCGTTTAGTCTCCAAAAATAATGGTTGGGATAGTGATGAGGCTGCGATCTATTTGGTCAGAAGTCTTGAGGGCGAGGCAGCCAATGTTCTTGATGATATAGAAGAAGGGGTTGATCCTGACCTTGACTCTATCATCAATGCCCTGCAGATGAACTATGAGCCTCCTCAACAAAGTGACAATGCCCGAGCTATTTTGAAAAATAGACTCCGAGGCCCTGGTGAACCCCTTGAGAAGTTAGCCCATGAGGTTAGAAAACTTGCCTGCAACGCATATGGTAGCCTGGGTATGCCTAAGTCTGGTATTGAGAACCAAGCAATGCAGTCATTTACTGATGCCTTAAATGATGTGGATCTTGAGGCAAAACTTTCATTCGCCAAGCCCACTTCTCTTAACCAGGCCCTTACCATGGCCCTACAATACGAATCCTTTTTCAAAGGTCGGAAGAAACGTTTGCGAGCGACTCATGATCCTGAGCTTCGAGCAACTGAGGCCCATGTCCAAAGCCCTTCATCTGAATCCCCAATGAGTTTGATTTCCCAGTTTTCTAAGATGATGGAAAAACAGATGGAGGCTCTTCACCAATACATTGCCCAGGCCCTGAAGGAGAAGGTTGACCGACGGCCCATGTCCAAGCCCACACGTGCCCAGTATTGTAAACTATGTGATACTCGGAAGCACAGCATATTTGATTGTCTTCACAGACATCCAAATTCCAAGGTCACTGGAGCCCGAGTTTGCTTCAAATGTGGTGTTGATGGCCACGTAGTGTCTGACTGCCCTGCCCTTAAGACCAATGCCTCAACTTATTCGGGAAACTAGAATGTGCTGAGTCGGTGGGCCTCGATTCAGCATCCAAGCCACAAAGGCCCACCAGTTTTAAAATCCAAAGTGGCTACAATTGCCCCCAGCCAGTGACGTTATATAAAAGTATACCCATTGCTTCTGGGGAGTTGATCCATGACCTTTTGCCCCCTGCCCGAGAGGATTTGTCAAAGAAACAGTGTGAAGTTGATTCTATTCCCCCATGTCCAGACCCTTGTAAAACCCTTGAGGCTGATGTTCCCCTGACTGATAGCAGCGATGATTTTGTTGATATAATGGTCGCCAAACACTTGGATGAGTTGCAGAAAGCAACTCCGTTGACTCTTGACCAGGTTGACCCTGTTATTTGCCCTGAACTGCTATTTAGGGACCCTGTTGTTCCCAGTCATTTATCTTGTCCTGTAGAGGAGGCCCGTGACCCGATTTGCCTCAGTGTTATTGCTGAAGGGAGTGATTTGCTTCCTGAACATGGGAAAGTTGACTGTTTGTCATATGAAAATGTTACTAATTTAAACTGTTTCCCTGACCATGAACTTGACCCTGGAGATGCCAAACCCATCGAGGAGCCTCCAGCTCCCCCTATTGTCCTTGTTCCCAAGTGTTGACTGCCATAATTCTGACCCCTAGGTTGCACTTGGACATATACTCGCTCTCAGCAGCCCAACTGATGAACTCGAGGAACCCAAGGAAAGCCCTGTTATAAATCATCTCAGCATTGACATTGATGTGACAATGACCCAATCTGTTTGAATTGTTAGTCCTGGAACCGATTAATCTGATGATTGTCCCAATATGCCTTGGTCTACAGGCACTTCTGAACCTTTTGAAATGAACATGACCCAACTGTGAAAATGGATAGCTGGTTTGGTATTTGGCCCTGTTGTGTGCCCAAAACTGCCAGTATTGATACCCAGGAAGCTTTAGTCCCCAGTCATTTGCCCATAAATTTGAAGAACCTGACCCTGATTTACGCCAACCTTGTTCTGGGAGAAATTTAAATGAATTTGCCTCCTGACCCTTGGAAAGTTGAAAGACTGCTCGCTACCTGGTTACTGAAATTGATTCCTGAGGTGGATCGAATTGTTGGTGGATGGAATGTTTTCCCAACTGGGAATGAGTGACACCATGGAGAAGAACCCGTCCATGACAAACTCCTAATTTCATAGAGATTGCTTTGTGTCACTCATCATGCCCATCCAGTAGTGGAATCCTGTGAACCTTGTCTCCGTGAACCGTGTGAACCGAGAAGGACATGACTACCTCTGCTGTGATGAAGAAGTTTGTCCGACCAACATATTCAACAAATCCTGAAAATGGCTAGAGGAATCAACAGTGGCTGAAACTTTGGACACTTGGTGGTACCAGATTATATATGCCTGGAACAACTCCATGACAAATCTAGCTTAAGATGAGCAACTGCAAGATGGTGTACTCCATGTTACAATTAAATGGAGAACCATGAACATTTAGTATCTTCTTGGATATCTATCCTGTGGATTTTAAATAACGTGAACATTTTGTTATCTAAGTTAACAGCTCATAGACTTATGAACTATAGTTTGTTTTTATAGAGGTTCGGGTCGAACCTGTTTTTAAAGGGGAAGTGATGTGATGACCCGTGATCAAAGGTGGTATACCCTTGTTTTCTGATCACTTGTCATCGTGTTAAATCCTTCTTAATATCAATGTATTATATTTAGTTTTAATTATAGCAATGTTATTTCCATGTTTTAATATTTAAAGTTACATTTTCGTTTCACATTTTTCCTTCATAAAGTTTTGCATTGTAACTCTATTCAAACTTTTTGAATAGACAATTAGTTACAGTCTGGCTTTCTTAGATAATCCCTTAGCTGTAAGAATCATCCCTTTGTTCAGTGCCTGGTAGAGGTGTCAAGTATTAACCGGTTAACCGGTTAACCGCCGATAATGCCTTGACCGGTCTGTGTTTTTATGGGCGGTTAGTTGACCGTGTATAATTCTGTTATTTCCCGCGCTTATTTTGCATGCTAATCCGTTTGGTTTTATGGTGTCAGTTTCACGTA